GGGGGGGTGGGGCGAGAGCCCTGTGATCTTCTTGGGTTTTCCCATTTTATCACTGCCTTCTCTGCTGAAAAGATGACTGAAAAACTGACTCTTCGCTTAGTTAATAAATGTTGGTGCTGCCGGGTTGGAGCAGGCCAGGGCCACGATGTCCTGGGTATTGGGAAGTATCTGAGAGTATTCATCCTCTGCGAATTCGTATGAGCACCTTTCTGGAAGTTGGGGCACATGGAGGTCAAATGACTTGGCCAGGGGTCCCCTGATCGTCCTGCCTTCAAGGGCACTTCTCTCCACTCTGCCTCTGCAGAAGGTGCTTTGGGCGTGTTATAATACATGTAAACGCCCATGAGATCTATCAGTGCTGTAGTCTGTGTCTGAGGCCGAGGCAGGGTTCAACCTGGCTCTTCTTTTTGTTCTCACCCCCTTCTTTACAGTCCATTGCAAGATGTGTCCCTGGAGTCGGGATCTACTTTGGGACCCTCTACTGCATGAAGCAGTACTTTCTCTTGGGGCAGCCCCCTACAGCCCTTCAGTCTGTCATGCTGGGTATTGGCTCCCGGGCTGTTGCAGGGGTCTGCTTGTTACCCATCACTGTGGTCAAGGCAAGGTATGAGGTGAGTCTTTGGCTTTGGAGCTAAATGCTGAATGTGACTGTCCCTGTGGCATTAGGGTTATTGAGGAAAGGCCCTGGGAACATGTGCTGGGCACATGAGGTTCTCTGAACCTCAGGCAGGTTTATAACTTTACACTGGATCATATGATTGGGATGCCATGAAAACAGGGCTGAATTTGGAAACCAAGGATCTCAGTTAGAATCCAGGCTGTGCTACTTATGGCCTCGGTGACCTTGGGCAAGTCACTGTACCTCAGTGGGCCTCCATTTCCTTATCTGTAAAATGAGGGGGTTGGATTAGATGACCCTTAAGGTCCCTTCCAGCTCTAAATCTGTGATCTGTCCATCACCAGGCATTTATTAGTAAGTGTCTACTGTGTGCTAGGTATTGTGGACACAGACAAAAATGAAATTGTCCCTGCCCTCATGGACCTTTTGGGGGAGTTAACAGGTAGGTCTATGAGTATATTCAAAATAAATATAAGGGGATTTTGGTGGGGGAAGTGGCTGGGGGCAGAGTCTGTGATTATCAAACTTAATTCAGAACACAAAGTGGGCCATGGGTGACTCCAAACCCTGGGGTGCATGTCACCCAACATCCTTTCAGTTCTAAGTGCAAGGTTTCCTGTGGGAGTCATTGGTCTTACCTGTACTTTGTAGAGTGGGCAGTATGGCTATGAGAGCATCCGTGGCGCCCTGAAGAACATCTATCAAACAGAAGGGCACAAGGGCTTGTTCAGGGGATTGACGGCCACGCTTCTCCGAGATGCGCCCTTTTCGGGGATCTACCTGATGTTTTACAACCAGACCAAGAAGGTTGTGATGAAAGGTAAGGCTGCAGGCGACTTCCGTATCCCACTGGATCTTGGCCGCTTTTGTTTAGCACTGCTTCAGGTGCCCCATTCTCACTGTCACCTAGAGAGCCCCTTTGGGTGGTGAGGGGAGGCTGTGGGGCCTGGGTTGGCCTTTTTTTATGTTC